TGGTACACAGAGTAAACACTGTAGGTCTTCATCACATCCGACCTACAGGTTGGCAGCCCTGTATGCAACACCAGGCCTGTGGTACAGAGAGTAAACACTGTAGGTCTTCATGACATCCGACCTACAGGTTAGCAGCCCTGTATGCAACACCAGGCCTGTGGTACACAGAGTAAACACTGTAGGTCTTCATGACATCCGACCTACAGGTTAGCAGCCCTGTACACAACACCGCGCCTGTGGTACACAGAGTTAACACTGTAGGTCTTCATGACATCCGACCTACAGGTTAGCAGCCCTGTATACAATACCGCGCCTGTGGTACACAGAGTAAACACTGTAGGTCTTCATGACATCCGACCTACAGGTTAGCAATCCTGTATACAACACCGCGCCTGTGGTACACAGAGTAAACACTGTAGGTCTTTATGACATCCAACCTACAGGTTAGCAATCCTGTATACAACACCAGGCCTGTGGTACACAGGGTAAACACTGTAGGTCTTCATGACATCCGACCTACAGGTTAGCAATCCTGTATACAACACCAGGCCTGTGGTACAGGTAAACACTATATCTCTTCATGACATCCGACACAATCCTGTACACAACACCGCGCCTGTGGTACACAGAGGTCTACGAGTCATGTACACAATACCAGGCCTGTGGTACACAGGAGTAAACACATCCGACCTACAGGTTAGCAGCCCTGTACACAACACCGCGCCTGTGGTACACAGAGTAAACACTGTAGGTCTTCATCACATCCGACCTACAGGTTAGCAGCCCTGTACACAACACCAGGCCTGTGGTACACAGATGCAACACCAACACAGTAGGTCTTCATGACAGCCCTGTATGCAACACCAGTAGGTCTTCATGACATCCGACCTACAGGTTAGCAGCCCTGTACACAACACCGCGCCTGTGGTACACAGAGTAAACACTGTAGGTCTTCATCACATCCGACCTACAGGTTGGCAGCCCTGTATGCAACACCAGGCCCTGTGGTACAGAGAGTAAACACTGTAGGTCTTCATGACATCCGACCTACAGGTTAGCAGCCCTGTATGCAACACCAGGCCTGTGGTACACAGAGTAAACACTGTAGGTCTTCATGACATCCGACCTACAGGTTAGCAGCCCTGTATGACAACACCGCGCCTGTGGTACACAGAGAGTAAACACTGTAGGTCTTCATGACATCCGACCTACAGGTTAGCAGCCCTGTATACAACACCGCGCCTGCCTGTAGGTCTTCACACATCCGACCCACAGGTTAGCAGCCCTGTATACAACACCGCGCCTGTGGTACACAGAGTAAACACTGTAGGTCTTCATGACATCCGACCTACAGGTTAGCAGCCCTGTATGCAACACCAGGCCTGTGGTACACAGAGTAAACACTGTAGGTCTTCATGACATCCGACCTACAGGTTAGCAGCCCTGTACACAACACCGCGCCTGTGGTACACAGAGTAAACACTGTAGGTCTTCATCACATCCGACCTACAGGTTAGCAGCCCTGTATGCAACACCGCGCCTGCTGCACACAGAGTAAACACTGTAGGTCTTCATGACATCCGACCTACAGGTTAGCAGCCCTGTACACAACACCGCGCCTGTGGTACACAGAGTAAACACTGTAGGTCTTCATGACATCCGACCTACAGGTTAGCAGCCCTGTATGCAACACCGCGCCTGCTGCACACAGAGTAAACACTGTAGGTCTTCATGACATCCGACCTACAGGTTAGCAATCCTGTATACAACACCGCGCCTGTGGTACACAGAGTAAACACTGTAGGTCTTCATGACATCCAACCTACAGGTTAGCAATCCTGTATACAACACCAGGCCTGTAGTACACAGGGTAAACACTGTAGGTCTTCATGACATCCGACCTACAGGTTAGCAATCCTGTATACAACACCGCGCCTGTGGTACACAGAGTATACACTGTAGGTCTTCATGACATCCGACCTACAGGTTAGCAGCCCTGTATGCAACACCGCGCCTGTGGTACACAGAGTAAACACTGTAGGTCTTCATGACATCCGACCTACAGGTTAGCAGCCCTGTACACAACACCGCGCCTGTGGTACACAGAGTAAACACTGTAGGTCTTCATCACATCCGACCTACAGGTTAGCAGCCCTGTATGCAGCACCGCGCCTGCTGCACACAGAGTAAACACTGTAGGTCTTCATGACATCCGACCTACAGGTTGGCAGCCCTGTACACAACACCGCGCCTGTGGTACACAGAGTAAACACTGTAGGTCTTCATGACATCCGACCTACAGGTTAGCAGCCCTGTATGCAACACCGCGCCTGCTGCACACAGAGTAAACACTGTAGGTCTTCATGACATCCGACCTACAGGTTAGCAGCCCTGTACACAACACCGCGCCTGCTGTACACAGAGTAAACATTGTAGGTCTTCATGACATCCGACCTACAGGTTAGCAGCCCTGTACACAACACCGCGCCTGTGGTACACAGAGTAAACACTGTAGGTCTTTAAGAGCTGCGTCATCCGCTACGTGCGACCCATGTTCCGCTTACTGACACAGAGTGCAGCGCTTAACTCTACCAATAGGAGGAATCTGTTTTGGCACTAGTTTCACATTAACAAAGCACAAGCTGGCGGCAGTGTCTACAGGCAAATATATGTAAAAATATTTATTTAGTAAACTTGCTCGACATGAGGTTGTATACCAAGTCTTGTGTGTACACGATATCCTCAGGATGTATGTAGATACAATGTCGTGCACAGTTTCGCTGAATCACACGTGTAGTACAGTGTAGCGGAAGTACATCCTTCAGTAGATGTCACACACAAACATTGTGTTATGTCATAATCATAACTGAAGTATCTCATCCTGTATCCTGATCGATGTTTTATGAGAATATACGATAATTATGTTTATGTCACGCTTCCTCCGATACCTTCCAGTCATGTACACATGGCGCGTGACTGCAATTATGGACACTCATACATAGGAGAAACATCGAGGCCCGTCAACACCAGAATCAAGGAACATCAGACATCAACCATCAAATCGGACCAGAAATCAGCCATATCAGACCACATAGCAGCTCATCCTAATCACCAAATCAATTCACCATCCTCGCTACAAACCAACCAGACTTTACCAAACACAAGATAAATGAAGGAATTAACATCAACCGATACCGACCACTGATTAATAGAGCTCAAGGCTACTTCATCCCCACTGCCTCATCAATCAACCCTAGCCTCTTGTATAAACAGTATTGGCTTCTCCTGGCTTCTATGTGTATCCCCGTTGTCCTCTGCTACCCTTTATTCGCTATTATCACATTGTTAATCTAGTATACATTCTATGCCCTGTGTATCATCGGCTTCCGCTGGCCTCTATGTTTATCCCTGTAATCCCCTGTTATCCCTTTATTTGTCATCATCACATCGTTATTCCGCTTTCCCTTGTTAATTAGTCTGTACACGAGGGCTCCTTTCCACAAAATGATCTGTGCGTTGAGACAATGGTAGCCTATACTATAGGAGAGACTTATGACAGGCGTTGTGCTATGATATCTTCGTGGAACGGTGCTCTGGGTAACTCTTACGTATACTTGCACAGATAAGTGATTATGTCTGTTATTGTGAAACACTCTCAGAAGAAGCTAAGCGATACCTTGAAACAAAGAAATTCTTCGTATATGTTACGAAGAACCACAGGGGCTTGTAACGCTAAAAACTGCCATCAGGGTATATACTATCACTGACAGTAAGTTTAAATTTGGGGTCCAACCTAAATGGTAAATTTGGATTTCAATGTGTGATGAATAACTAAAGCGTTCCAATCTTCGTCCATCTATAACCACACACAACAGCTTATCGCCTTGTCATCTACTTTGTGACAGATGTAATCACCCTGAACCACCTTGTCCTCTACTTTGTTACCGATGTAATCACAATGAACCGCCTTGTCATCTACTTTGTTACCGATGTAATCACAATGAACCGCCTTGTCATCTACTTTGTTACCGATGTAATCACAATGAACCGCCTTGTCATCTACTTTGTTACCGATGTAATCACAATGAACCGCCTTGTCCTCTACTTTGTTACCGATGTAATCACAATCAACCGCCTTGTCCTCTACTTTGTTACCGATGTAATCACCATGAACCGCCTTGTCCTCTACTTTGTGACAGATGTAATCACCCTGAACCACCTTGTCATCTACTTTGTTACCAATGTAATCACCCTGAACTGCCTTGTCATCTACTTTGTTACCGATGTAATCACCCTGAACCGCCTTGTCCTCTACTTTGTTACCGATGTAATCACCATGAACCGCCTTGTCCTCTACTTTGTGACAGATGTAATCACACTGAACCACCTTGTCCTCGACTTTGTGACAGATGTAATCACCATGAACCGCCTTGTCATCTACTTTGTTACCAATGTAATCACCCTGAACTGCCTTGTCATCTACTTTGTGACAGATGTAATCACCCTGAACCACCTTGTTCTCTACTCTGTTACCTATGTAATCACCCTGAACCACCTTCTCCTCTACTTTGTTACCGATGTAATCACCCTGAACCACCTTGTCCTCTACTTTGTTACCGATGTTATCACCCTGAACTGCCTTGTCATCTACTTTGTTACGGATGTACACGTAATCACCCTGAACCGCCTTGTCCTCTACTTTGTTACCGATGTATTCTCCATGAATACAAATGCAGCAACAGGGTGAACACAACACGTTGAGCACTGATAACATCAGCCCTTCTGTAGGCGACATTTATAGCCAGTGTAACCGTGAGCTGTAGGAACGCCAGCCCACGCCGATGTGTGTTTTGGAATGTATATATCGTGGTTTTGTGTGCGTGCGTGTGTTCAGTATGGAATTATATTGTATTGTATAGTTCCTAGCAGTTAATTCTAAGTCCTTGACTTGTTCAGTCAAAAAAATATATATTTGTCCCTGGAACAACAATGCACGGTACCGTGCCTTATAGAATGTATACAATTGTATATCCTTCACAGGTTGTAGTTAATGACATGTAACATATTCATAAGCGTTCTCTAACAGATAACATCCTTGTCCACACTGTGTCCTACTGAACAAGGAAGAAAATCACCAAGGGTATATTACCGGTGACGGAGGGAGTCACTCACACGCTATGACTCGCCAGGGATACATCGCTGTCTGTGTAGGGCTCGTTATATCAGGTATGTGCATTAACACAATATTTTCAACACATTATGGAAAGTTCAGCAAATCACATGTGTCTTAGAAAAGCGCATTTCATTTTGAGAATATGATTACCGTCTGAAGGACGATTGGTCTAGCTCGGTCGGATAAACACTTCGTCACGACTTATTTAACATATACCAGACTTGTACACACAGACTTAAAAAATTTAAAATATAGTGACGGGCATGTTTGTATATATTACATTTTGGGATACGTTAATCAGAGGAGATATACCAGTCTGTTTTACTGTGTTTAGTTTGACCATCTCCTAGTCAGATTCATAGTCCACACACAATAGAAGAGGAGGGGAAAGGGGGAGGGAGGGGGGCAGATATTGTGTTTAGTTTATGTACAATGTACCTTGCTCATCACCAGAAAACACAGGCTAATATACCAGTATGGTTTCTCTCTGTTTGCTGTGCGTACCGAAGTAGACAATACAGGGGTAAAACAGAAGAGTATACCCGTATGTTCTACTTGTGTGCATTTTGTGTACCGGAGTCATCACATCACATACAACACAGAGGGGTATACAAGTGTGTTTTACTATGTTTAGTGTGTGTACCGGAGTCATCACATCACATACAACACAGAGGGGTATGCCAGTGTGTTTTACTATGTTTAGTGTGTGTACCGGAGTCATAACATCACATACAACACAGAGGGGTATGCCAGTGTGTTTTACTATGTTTAGTGTGTGTACCGGAGTCATAACATCACATACAACACAGAGGGGTATACCAGTGTGTTTTACTATGTTTAGTGTGTGTACCGGAGTCATCACATCACATACAACACAGAGGGGTATACCAGTCTGTTTTACTATGTTTAGTGTGTGTACCGGATCCATCACATCACATACAACACAGAGGGGTATACCAGTCTGTTTTACTATGTTTAGTGTGTGTACCGGATCCATCACATGGACAGAGCGGGATTGAGAAGGAACTGCATCCTCAAAATGGATTCTACAACAACCTATTTGAGCCTGAATGGGGGACCACAGGTAGGTCTTTAATAATACAAATAATAATGATGTTGTTGATGATGATGATGATGATGATGAGGAGGAGGAGGAGGAGGAGGAGGAGGAGGAGGAAGAGGATAAAAACGACCTTAAATACGAAGAGGGCGTCATGGGAAATGACTATAGATAATATTTCAGGAATTCCAGACCAACAAAGATACGCTTAGTTCTATAATACTGTTTTTTGCCGCTTTACAATTTTGATCAAACCACGGTTTCGACTGCTTACTATTTTTGGAAATATTTTTACACCCAATCGTTGCTTTTGCGGCAGATGTTATTTTTTCATATAGTGAGCTAGTGATACGAATAATGCATTCTTGAATATTGTCAACTTGAACATTGTCAATTTCATAACAAAATAATTCGATACATTTAGAATCAATATGATTGGAAAAATTCCTTTGTCATTGTTCAGCTTATTAATTTTAGACCGAGAGGAATATTGAGGACGATCACACCAGTTGATAACATACAGCCGTGGGACGATCCCGACTATGACTATGTTTTGAATAGACCTACTGCAGACTGGTATGCAAGTTACTTGCCTATCACATGTTCATGGAAAGCTGATTAGATACTGAATTAATTTTTCCGCGGTCACGGTAAAATTTGCAGTCATGATAACGGCAGTGTTCGATCAATGTGTTGAGCCTGTCTTCCGGTATACATCGGTATGGGAAGGTAAACACTGAAATAGTTACGTTCGAGGTTCATGATTTTATGAAGGTTATTAAGCAACTGTCAGCATTATTTCATAAAATGCGTCTTCTGCTAAATTTATCCGTAAAGGTTTAAGTATGGGGGTAATCTTTTCTATGAAATACGTACCGTTACGGAAGTCGATAAGTTCGATCTCACTACTGTATAGAGAAGTAACCTAAATTCTTTAGTGTATGTTTTCGGAGAAGTCGGTGTATCGATCGTCTCTGACATGGTATATCAAACATCAGTTTCATTACGTTTTCAATTTCCATACACGTGTAAAGCATCGGTTATATGTCGTGATACGTAGTCATATAAATCTGCAAAATATACGTAAAATGTAAAATGATAAAGACCTGTAACCTCCTTAACAGCTGATAATAGATATAATAAATAAATATAGATGCAAAAAATAGAACTGACAAATCCTTATCTATCTCTTTAATTGTCAGCTAGTGAAAAAGAAAATTCTTCATTGTGTTCTAGTAGTAACGTGTAAAGTGTGATCAGTCCCAAAGAAAGACCATGGATCAAATCAAGAAACCAGCACACAAAAAAATATAGCAAATAATTTATTTGCATACAAACTGTTTATGACAAAATAATGAATACAGTGTGTACACCAACATCATGAAGGCAAAGACTTGCATGTAACTTAACCGGATGGACTTTTAAAAGCCTAAGAAAACAAGATTGATCTCCAATAACACCATGTGACACAGTGGTGACTGCAATTTGGAAACATTTACCATCTGAACAAGTCCCAGGATTCAAACAGACGAATACAACAGACCTTAAGACATCAGGCACAACTGGTTTCAGTTCACACCCTAGACACATATACATGATTTCATTATATCTCGATATCAGTGAATTAACCAGTTCCTGTTTACTAGTTATAAATGAAAGTGTCTGGCAGAATATCCTGGGAAAATAGGCTGTTTGTGCTGCAAAGCTGTAGGAAGGAAACATGTTTCTTCTCTCGAGAATGGCCTACTGGGTAGGAATTCAACAAACTCTGTGAATAAATTTTACATTGAATTAGAGATATTTTGTAACACAATTTCAGTATATTTTGTTTTGGCAACATAATAATAATTTTCTTGGAAATCTCCGCTAAAAAAGTAAGTAATTTTGTCTTAACAAATGCTGAGAGGGAAAATAGATATGAGGATTAAAAACCAGTGTCTTTGCAAACAAGACTTAGTGTTAACTCATTGGTTTGGGAAAAACATGCAGTAAGAGGAACAGTGTTTTGTTTTGTTTTTCAAACTGGAGTGCACCAGTTCAACCAAAGATTATTGATTGTCTCAATTATATTTACCATGTACTTTCTTGTTCACTGGCTTGGCCTCTTGGTTTAGGCCTAGGGGTAGCTGATTGCCCAGTTGGGTTCTCCAGTCTTGGTCACTTCTAGGGTATTTAGGCTGTTTTCATTGATGTGAAATGCTGCCATGTACATCCTAAAAAATAGCATTAAAGTAGCATTTTCACATTTGCCAAAAATAAAACCCACAAAGAAATACATTATCTGAATGAACATATTTCCCTGATTTCCCATTTTTGAAAGTGGGTTAAAAGTTACCTATATATACAGCTGCCATGGTGTTTTTACAAGGGGTCCATAAATACCTAAGTTTTATGCCAGTGCAGAGCAGTCATTTTCATTTTGTTTATTGTACATTTCCTTAAAGAGAAAGAATGAGAATCAACATTTTAATCATGCCCTAACACACACATGCACACGCACACACACAAAATTCACAAATTCTACCCATTTTAACATGGTAGGGGACCAGTCCCTGGTGGATAATTATCTGATATGACTTATTTTTAATTACGTTTTAGTAATTATGTGCTCTCTCTTACCACCGCGCCCATATGGAAAGGGACAGCCAGGTGTTCGAGAAGCACGTTCACAGACACAGCTATTTATTCATTAACCTGCGCTGTGCCGTCTCCATCCGTTCTCGAACACCTGGCTGTCCCTTTCTCTGCACCCCTCCCTCGTAACAAATAGTGAACTGTGTCAATATTTTAATGATAGATTGTTAAACAACTTTTTTTATTTTTAGGACAAAAATTCGGCAAAAAACCTCACAGAGTGGGTATGATGTTTTGATTATGATCAGCGTTTCATTGAGTATTTTATGCTTATTAGTTTTCGAGTTAGATTGCAATTCATCTGTCCCCTTTTGAGCCAAACGGACTACAGAGGGATTCACAAAATCCGCACGACAACAGTAAACAATCTATGCCCTTCCTCTCTTGACTCTTGTCAAATAGAATTTCTTTCGAATTTCCAATTTCGAAATTGCGCTTCGTGTCACTTTCAACTCGATGGCGTATACACTAGATCTACTGAAATGTCACCACACTGAGCGGACTCACATGACGTCACACCCACAAACGGCAGACCGCTAAAAATAAAAATATGCATACGAGTGGGCGGGGCTAAAGTGGTTTTAGTTTTGGTTCATATTTATAATTTTTACGACTATTGTTCGTAAATGGATGGTGCAGATGTGGTATATATTCATGTTTGAATGGCATTATGTAATAAAAATGCATAGTGTTTAACCTTTTTAAAAATCATTTAAACCTCAGCATTTAAAAAAACCCGTGTTGACTGTAGTTATGCAACAGAGCGAAAATAGAGATCACCAACAAAACGAAATATAGTTGCAGGCAACGATGAGGTCTCCTTGGCTTTACCTTCTATCTATTGTATCTGAGGGCTAGATATCATCGTCCAAAACGGAGCCAGAACACTTGTTTTGACAGGCGAGCGGATCTTCAAAATACAGCCGGGGTCGCGGGGGTCATGTACCTTTTCAAGTAGTTTTGGAGAAGAAATAGTTCCCTCTTTAAAAGGCTGTATCTCAGTTGTTCTTGGGTCTACGTTCAAAACAATTAGTGTTCTGGAATCACCAGGACATCATCTACCATACTGACACGTTTTGTGCAGAATTTTCACATTTTGGGAGCAAACTACTCAGAAAGTGCTGAAAAACATGGCCAAAAACTGAAAACAAAAATAACTGCCAAACGGTACGTTTTAGCGACTTGACCATTCAGGCAAAATTGTTGGGAATTCGATTGTGCATCTGTCCCCTTTGCTATTGGGCCAAGAGCCTAGAGATTTTTAAGGGGAATATCTACACCTCGGTGCGCATCTGTGTGATTTTTTGTAAGCGATTCGGAGCATTGGTTTAGGAGTTATGTTTGTAACAAAAATCGGCGGAATAATAAATAATAATAATAATAATAATCCGAACGATTACAATAGGTCTCCTGCCTAGAGGCAAGGAGCCCTAACAAAGTTATGTTAGCCCAGTGATGGACTTCTCTGTTTGAAAAACAGATATCCCAACCAAAACAGTACAGGACACTGTTTATGAAGAAAGAGTAGCTTCATTACTTAAGCCGCTAGAAGCCAAAATAGCTGCTGTTTCTGGAAATGTAGAATTGAATACAGTGCCAGAATGCACTGTTATCAAGAGGTATAAATATTTCATAATGCTCTTTGAACCTGACACGAGTTCCACTTGGCGACCATGTTGTGAGCCACTGTCAACCTTTATTATGATATACATGTTACTATCGGCTTATGAATTACTATGTCATGACCATAACTTGTTAGAAATCAACTATATGAATTATGATTGTGGACAAATAAGAGGCAGAGCATTTGGGAGAAAGGATATTTTTATAAAATAGGATTTCCTAATTTTTTAAATAAAAAGTAGGATTTCCTATTTTTTTAATTTTCCATATATGCTTGAAATCAATTGTTCTAAAGTTGATTACACTTATGATGATAATACCTTTAATATATATCACTCAAAGCTTTCATATTAAGTAATACATTTATAAACTAGGATTTCCTAAAAAAAATTATAAAGTAGGATTTCCTATTTTTTAAAATTTTCCATTGTTAGTAAACAAAACACAGGAAATTTTACAAATATTCCTGACACTACATACTGTAGCCTCATCAAACTTTTTATTTGTATGAGGTCATGTTCGCTTAAAAAAAACATTTTCGTTCATACATGTTCCTTTCCTTCGTCGTGTGACCTCGGCTAATCATCACCTACTACATTTTTCCAGTGTTTGATGCATTTTGGGCTGTTTCATAGGCGTACCAATGTAATTCAGAAAAGAGAACAGAAAACCGTACTTATTCAAAACAAATAAAAACTATGTGTGGCACGTAGTCTAAGACATTTCTGTATTCTTGACTACACCTTGACAGTCGGACCCAATGTTTA